TTTCTTTCTTTCTTTCACGTGGAGATCTACGAGAGACTGCGAAGAGAGATAGGAAGAGGCGGACGCCCAAGGGTGGGCAACGGCTAGCGCACCACACCCCTCTCCTTAAAATCCCTGTGTGGTGGCGGCGTGCCGTCCTCCCATCCCTCCCTTGGGTTGTCCGTTTTCTTTCTTTCTTTCTTTTTCACCGCGGAGAGGTGACAGGGGCGGTCAGCCGGAGACCGTACCCCCCCCACCCCCTTAACGCTTAAGCCGTGAGACTACCGTACCACACCCCGGAAAACGTTCGAAGCCGGCGCTAGCAAACTCTGAAATGCTCAATGGGAGAAAGAATTTTCCGTTTTACGAGCAAACTCTGCTTTAATTCTAAGGCAGGCAAATAATTTTTCCTTTTCTTACCACTCCAATGTCGTCCAAACCCAACACTCGCCCAGCCCCCAGGTCCCGTGCGATATGGATGGCGAGAAATGAGCGCGTCAACCAGTGCTCAAACTTTACCGGTATGAGACTGGTATTTGGCGATATTTTGATTAGTTTTGGAGTGGTATGGTATAGTGGTATGCGAAAGTGGTATGCGGGGTTTTCAGTAGTTGTAGCGGCTGTCGGTGTGGTCCCGGGGGCGAAACCATGCAAAAGTGCGGGTATTACCCGAAAATGGGCAAAAACGGGGTGATTTTGGTCATCCGTCAAAATATCTGAAGATGTGAATGGGAGATTCTCCCCAAACCTTGCTCAGCTGATCCAGCACGGGCCGTAGGCCAGCCCTGGGCAAAGAAACCAGTACCTCATCGGGCTTCCCTGAGCGTCACAGCTCGGTGATCGCGCCGGCCGGACACCACTGTAACGTCCGTTCCGGGCATTTGAACGCGACCTTCGGGGGCAAAGACATGGGCTCTATGGCTCAGACTGGACTCCTCTTGGTCCCTTCTGATGCCCTAGGCCACACCTGGGCCTTACCTGGGGTCCTAGGGGCCGGGCAGGGTTTGCCCCCCCCAACTGGCCCGAAGAAGCTTAACGATCCCGCGTGAACTGACGGCAGGTAAGCCGGCAGGTGGGGTCGGGGGTCGGGGGGTGTGCCGGGTGGATCCCCAACTTCGGGCGAGCCGGGCCCGTGCATAGTTCGGGCGCGGGGGGCGCGATAGCACGGGATGGGGAAAGACGCACCTACATGCTGGTGGCTACCGGTCTCTTGATTGCCTGATTTTGACGATTCTCGTTCGGAGCGAAATCCCGAAACCTCTCCGCTCGAGACGGAATTGAATTGTTTTGGGGGATTCCGAACACGTGATTTGTTGTGGGTCGACCCGTCTAAATAAATAAATAAAAACGGACACCTCTCTACTGTGAGATGGGTAAAAAGGAACAGGTCCCCGCCCTTGCGATCTTTGTGCAGGGTTCTTTGTGGGTGTGGTCGGCGACTAGCCGGGGTCGTCCTCCCGATGGGGGACTAGCACTAGCCGTCTTCCACATGGTCCCTCGGGTCCCTGCTGCTCCTAATCTCTTCGTACATCCTCCTGCTGATCTCCGCAAAGTCCTGCTCCCTCCCTCGTCTCGCCCTGCGCGTCTGCTCCGCCTCACCGTCTTCTGCCCTGCGAGCTGCGTCGTCTGGCGACGGGTCCACGCCTCTTCCGAGACAGCTTTCCTAAATTTCCTTTGTTCCTTCGAAAATTGACTCGATGGCGAAAACCAAAAGGAAACACGGGAGGCGTGGGGTGGTGGTCCGTCAGCTTCCGACATCCATCGCAGTGGCGCCGCCCCCTTTCGGCCCCGCATCGCCGCCCGCCCTCTGCGGCGCGGTCACACCCCGGACCGCCTCGAAGGCAGACTCCAGCAGCCAGGACAGGCGAAGCAGGCGAGAGCGCAGCACCGAGTTCAGAGTGGGCGCCTCGTACACCACGCCGTCGAGAACGTAGTACAGCCGCAGCACCGCGCTCCCGCCGCCGCCGCCGCCGCCGGTGCGTTGGCGCTTCTCGATGACGTAGAGCGTGCGCGCGGCGGCAGTTGGCGTTGGCGGCACCTCCTGCGCCTTGGCCAGTGCATACCTACCGCAGGCGGGCACAGCGGCGATGGCAATGGAGAGGCACGTGTGCCGGCGTAGGAGTCTGGTGAGGAGGGAGTGGCATGGCTGTGCGGCATGGCGGCAGCAGCCCCTTGGGCTGGGTCGCCCTCCCCTCTCACAGAGCATCTATCTCCACACTCGATGCCACTCATCTGCTCGAGCATCTCGGCCCTCTCCTCGCGGCTGAGCCCCTGCTGCATATTGAGCTGCTCGTTGAGGCAGGTTCGGTCGTAAAACTACAGCGTCGGGCGTGCGGGAAGGTCAGAGCGAATCTGTCAGAGCGTGGACCGCAGACGCGGACGACACGCGCCTGCGAGTTGGCAAAATAGTCGAGAACCGTGTCACGGTTGAGCGGAAAGTGGCGCAGCCACTCCAGATCCTGCCACGAAACGCGCGTGAGCGGGGCCTGCTCCATCGCACAAGAAGATAAAAACGCGCGCGTGGGGCAGAGCGGAGCTGTGAATAGGACCGCCGCAAGCGGGTGGCGTGGAGCGGTTGCGCATCCCTCCGGGGGCCCCTCTGCGCCGGGGAGGCGTTGTTGGAGGCTAGGACGCAAGCGTCCGTCGCCCTTTGCAAACTCGGGGCCCACTCCGCTACGCTCCGACCCGAATTTGGATGGAGGGCCTAAAAGTTTAAGGTGTTGCTGCGCAAAAGCGGTCGGACACAGGGCGCAGCTCATGCTAAGAGCCAGAAGGGGAGCTAGAGAGAACGACTACCCTGTCCCGTTATTGCGTACACCAACACCACAAAAGCTCTCTCTCTCCTGTCCTCAGACACTCCGGGGGTCCACAACTACCGTGTCCCTCGACTAGCTGCCACGTTGCCGACCGAGAGCGGATCTCCTCCTGCTCCGCAAGGAGGGTGGCCAAGGCTAAAGTCTTGCCGGAGCCGCCGGGCGCGTTGACGACTTGGAGAAGGTTGCCCTTGCACTTGTACTTGTAGAGATGCTCGAGGGGGTGCTTTGTGGGGCGGTGCGCAGCCAGGCCAGGAGTGAGCCTCCCCTCACTCTCCTCGGTTGCAGAGCTCGTCGGAGGCTGCGGCACGACGGGAGGGTCGCGACAGCAGTCCTCGGGCGAGCCGACGCGCATGTCCAACCAGCGCTGGGACTCGTTGTGACGGCAGACGCCGGCTGCCTCTCCAACCGCTTCTGCAGCGTCCTTCTTTGCCCGGTGCATGGGCTCGATCCGATTCCGCAGCGTGTCGTCCCACATCGTCGGATTTGCGCACGGTATTCGGATTTTGCTATTTGTTCGTGTGGGGGTATATTGCAGATTTATCAATGGTACACCGCGTCTGCGCGTCTGCGACGCGGGCGCCTTGCGGGCAGAGCCCTTAGCCACCCTTCATATCTTGCGCGGTCATTAAGTGCTCCAAGAAACACATTCATCTGACCCGCTGGGTGCGCTTCTTAGCTCCCCGGCCCTGGACTGCACTCCAAGTGCTCCAAGAAACACACAACTGCTCTGGTGCGGACCAAAATCACCCCGTTTTTGCCCATTTTCGGTCATCCGTCAAAATATCTGAAGATCCTACTATAGGATTCTCCCCAAACCTTGCTCAGCTGATCCAGCCTGGGGGGAAGGCCAGCCTTGGGCAAAGAAACCAGCACCTCATCGGGCTTCCCTGAGCGTCACAGCTCGGTGATCGCGCCGGCCGGACACCACTGTAACGTCCGTTCCGGGCATTTGAACGCGACCTTCGGGGGCAAAGACATGGGCTCTATGGCTCAGACTGGACTCCTCTTGGTCCCTTCTGATGCCCTAGGCCACACCTGGGCCTTACCTGGGGTCCTAGGGGCCGGGCAGGGTTTGCCCCCCCCAACTGGCCCGAAGAAGCTTAAATCTCCTGGGTTGGCGTGCCCCGAGAGCTGCGTCTGGAGCTCCCGAGGCACATCGCCACACGACCCCGGCGTCGGCGCTCAAACAGGCCCATCGCGCCGGCTGCCGGAGTGGAGACTCCCAGGTTGTCTCATAAAGGCCCTCACGCGAGATTGCGCACGACTCGGACGATGGGGTTGAGCAAGCAGCCCGAAGCTGCGAGCCGACGGCGACGCATGCTTTCGGCGTTACGGCGATTTGGATGGATCGCACGTTGTTATGCTTGCTGTCCACCTCTCCTCACGTTGAAGGATAACCTACATAGCCGCAGCGGCGCGGCTATCTCCGACGAGACTGGCTCAGTCGCTGGCGGCCGCAGTTTTCTGTGACCCACCCACCTCTCCCTTGTGTTTTGTCTGGGCAGGCTTCTCCTGCGGAGTCGTGCGTGCGCAGGGCTCCTCTTTGCTTTCTTCTACTCCGCCCTACTACATATCATCGCTCGTTGTAGGCTACGTTGACCTAGA